TGTTGCTCTTTCTCTCTGTGGTTAAAAAAAAATTGCAGTATGGACCTCAGGCCTTCTGTCACAGTTTCCACAGATTTGCGCTCGTCTGTTGTTTCCAAAATTTGGTTCTTCCTCCACACCAAAATCCACAGTGCAATTAAGCATAACCTCATTTCTTCCTCAGGGGTCATTCATGGCAGTGTGCTCAGAATTTTATGCTTTAGACCTTCCTTTCTCTTTTAGATCAATTTCCTCTTTTAGAGTCATCCAGTCAAAAGATTTTATCTATTTTTCCTCAACAACTTTAATGTGTTCTCTGAAGTCTTGGATATATAACAAGCTTCACTGCACCCCATATTGAAACAGTACAGTTGTGATGACCACAGCCAGATCAGCTTGTGGAACCCCATGGCCCTGTCATAAATGTCCCCCCCCCTCCTGACCCATAAAGTCCCACAGAATCCTCTGAGTGACATCTCACTGAGGTCAGGGGGATGCTGTTATCACTGACTAAAGTGGAGATATCTCAACAGAAAAGTGAATCAAGAGGGCAGAATCCAGCTTAAATCAGAGTGACCAGCTATGCCTTTCCTTTCTGATATGAAGATCTGTTTGGATCATGCCTTGTTCTTAGGGAGCTGTTCACCCTTTCCCACTTTCAAAGTTGAGATTTGAACTGGAATAAATGTGAAACACCCATGCTGAAGGCCTGTGAAACCAAATTCTTCCACTTCTATTCCAAGGTAAAGTTCACACTGGTTTGATAAAGAGCTTCTCCCTCCCAAATTTAGTAGCTCAGGTCCGTAGAAATTTCTTCCTCCGTGTTACACAGTCCAGAGCAGATGCATATTCCCAAGAAAACCTAAGGCTGTGCTCCATGACATCTCTACTTCCAGTCCCCTTCATCTTATTCCTCTGTCATTGTCTGAGGGTTTGTTTGCTTCTACTTGGTCTAAGCTGATTTCCTGGCCTACAGGGCAAAGAAGAAGAGAAGAAGCAAAAGACCAGTAACTCACTGTAAGGAACTGAACTTACTGCATTGTTGCCACGCATATTTCCGTGGTAAGAACTTAGTCAAAGGCCACACTCTCTCTTCAGAGACAGTTCAGGCGAATACCACTATTAACCAGGTAGGACCAACTGCTCTGGAAAACTAGAAATCAAAGTTCTATTCCTCAAAAGAAAAAAAGGAACAATGAGCACTAGGTGGGTAGGGAGGGATTAACAGTATTTATTGTAGGTCCCTAACTAGAACTTCAAACTCAGTGAAACACAGTCCAAGTTTTTCCTAGCTAGTTCATCTTTAGTTTAAAACATCATTTAATGGCAATTCAAAAGTGACACTTTCTGTTAAAAAATGACATTGCTCACACTCACCAAGTTTTAACTCATCCTTTGGTACAGAACTTTACTAGTGAATGCATGCATAGTACTACAAATGGAAAATTTTGCTGCTTAATCTTTATTTCTGAAGACATCTCCTACTCCAGGCTATTATTCAGAACAACTAAAAGTCCACGGAGAACTGAATTTGCATTCCTTCTGGTGACTTTAACTTAAGCTTTTTCCCTCCCAGAAGAAAACCTAGAGTGAGCGCTCTTGAACTTGACGCCCAGCTTGGGCTCCACTGCACAGCAGGGACCATGTTGGCAATAGTTCCATTTTATTAGCACAATCTGTGTCTGCTGCCCCTTGCCTCAGAGGAGACTCTAAGAAGACATGATGACTGCTTTCTTGCCACTTCCTTTGATCTGATTAGAGTCTGCCCTGGGGCTGGCCCGCTCTCAGCAGTGCAGCAGCCTGTCTGGGATGTTTGGTGATTTCTGCTGAGACCTGCATCTAACAGGTCCTGAGCTTTCTCAAGCACTTGCGCTTGTGGACATTGCCTTCTGTTCTTCCTCCTCCCTGTCCTTGGGGATCCTAGCCTGGGCTTTAGACAACCTCATAACTTTCTAGCCTAAATTTGATGCATAGCAAGCATATAGAGTCAAAAGTCTATGTCAGAATTGCAATTCTGAAGTCTTAGCAAAGAAAAAATAGAAAATAAATTATTCTGTAAAATGAAATTAACCTCTTCTTGAGATTCCATTGCTTTTTCACCTAAGTGGGTTTGTTGTTGTTGTTGTTGTTGTTGTTGCTGCTGCTGCTGCTGCTGTTTGCCTTTTTTTGTTTTTGTTTTGTTAAAAGATCTTAATGGTCAGTTGACTGACCTCATGTCCTGTAACAAAAGTACCTCTTTTCTGCCTGGAGCCCTAGATATTCTGCAAACCCCTTTACAAACATAAAAAGTGCACCTTTTACCTTCCTTTTTACTGCTTTTGAAGCAAGTTTCAATGAATCCTTTCTACTCCGTGGGAGGCGTGGGTACGTAGGATCACATTTGGACATTGGTTCCTGACATGAGAGAAACTTTTTGCCTCTCATTTCCTCTTAGTTTCATGGATAAGATAACTAGAAGGGAAAAGCCTGTTCCCAAATAATAATGCAACTTCTGAGAGCATGTAAAACTAATAGAACTTAATTCTTGGTTTTCGGTACTCTAGAATATCTCCAGCAATCTTCAAAGACTATTATCTGATCCTCAAGGTGAACCAAAAATATCATTAATTCTCTTTAACTTAAAATTGAAAAGAATGTGTCCCTTAGAACTTTTGGATTGGAAGGGAATGTCCTGACAACCACCCTGGTAGATCTCCCACCTCAAAGTCAGTATCAGCCACGGCCTCTGTTTCTGATTCTCAGGTGCCCTATGACTCCTTGTGTTCTAAATAATAGAGTATATAGTACTCTGAAAAGATGAAAGACCACAAGGCTGTCTATAAAGCAGAAGCATAGCGTGGTTTTAGCCTATTAACTTTTCTTTCTGAGGCTGCAGCTACATGTTTAACAAGTGGAGGTGATGTTCTCAGATTTCTATCTTACAAGGCTCTCAGGTGATTAATTAGACATTGTTTCAAGTGTCTACAATTTTAAATCTGAGACTTTATGAGAAGAATATTATCTGTGAAATGGCTGTATTGCTTTAACCTCATTTTATGTGTGAATAAAGTCATGCGATACAGGCTTAAGTGCACTGCTGTGGAAAAGTCAGTGTAGTCTGTCTTCGGGATGGAAGGAGCAGCTTTCTCTCTCTCTCTCTCTCTCTCTCTCTCTCTCTCTCTCTCTCTCTCTCCCACACACACCTCCTTCCCCCTCTGCTTACAGAAAGGACTTCCCAGTCTCTGGCCAGCATAAGAAGTGGCAAGGTCCAGAATGACCTCACCTTACCCTAGAAGTGGCCTCCAGCTTCCTTGGCTTTGGTGTTTTTGACACAACTACAGGACTGGTTGCAAAGAGATGTTACCTGGACCTTGTCTGCCTACTCCTTGGCACATATGTTGTCTACTTCCTTCTACAACCCCTGTATTTTCTATATCTTTGCTCTGAATCTGAGTCTAAATGCACATGTGAGACTCAAGCCCCCATCTGAACTCAAGTTCAGCACAGGACTCAAGACTCTAAGTAGAGCCAAATTTTAAAACAAAACAAAACACAAAACACTTGCATTTATTTTTAATGTCTTTCCTACCACCGTCACTCTTCTTGATTACTGTTTATCTTTTGGTATTTCTCAGCAGCACAGTAATTTTGTTTCTGCTCTGTTTCCTGTCACTTTTCTCCAGACAGCCAGCCACAGGGAGCGAAGCAGATGTAAGACTGCCATCTTGTGCTCAAGATGATTATCATTCTTATCACTGTTCTAAAATTAAAGGCGATTTGTGGGGTTTGAGAGAGGAAGCCTTGGAGTCCCGGTCCGATGTTCCCTGACCTAGACGTTCCTGGAAGTTTTTGTAATTTCCCATCTTTGACATACGTACTCTTTCTTCATCTTCCCTCTCTGGAGCACCACGTGTCATCCCTTAGTTGAAAGCCTATTTTTTCAATGATTCCAAGTGTGAATTAGAAGAGTCATAGTGCAAATGCCACTATTTATACTTTTCCCCAACTCGGGAGGGTGGACACTTAATAACCAAGGCATGAACTAGTGAGCATTTTGCACACCCCACTCCCACCTGAGAACCAAGGACTCACAGATGATGTGCTGCGATGTCTGAACCTCACACTGGCTGGAAGTCCTCTGGGGTCAACACTTCACAGCACCCATGAACTCAGGGAAAGGCCACCCTTGAATCACACTTTATGACCATGCAGTGTGAAAACTGGGCTTGATAACCTGAGAGATGAAGAGCAAAGGTGAAAGGTGGGGAAAATGGAAAGAAAGAGTTCCAAGCCGAGAAGAGAAGCCTAAAGTTTAAAGGTCCAGAGGAAGTAAAGAGAGCTTCTCACAGGAGCAAGCAGTGCTCAACTAAAACAATACTGCAAGGAAAACAAAAAGGAGTGACACACAGACAGATGTGTGTTAGGGAGTCGTAGGGACTGGTGGTGACTGTGGTGAACGGAAGAGGGAATACACTGTCCGAAAGGGCGCTCCAACTCACAGGCGGGAAAGTGAGTCCTCTATCACCAAGTCCTCTGAGTTTTAAAAAGAAGACCCTTAAATCTGTATTTGCACATAAAATCTTGAAATGTTTTTAATTGGTTTGCACTATTTTATTTTATTTTAATTTTCTTGTTTGTAATTGGCATATAATATTTGGGCATATTTATGGGGTATCATATACCAGTTCAATGCAACTATATGATATACAACAATCAAATCAGGATAATTGCATTACCATCGCTCTACTGTCTAATTAATTTATTCGCCTTGTGCTGTCATGGTTTACAGGAGACTCAGACTTACTGCAGAGGTCCTAGTAACATCCCTTTCCCTTATAGGGTAGCACAGACGTTTAAACAATTTTAATTCTTACAATGCTTAAGCATAGAATGTCTTTGTGTGGTGTGTTCTATAGTTTCTTTCATCATGTTTTATAACTTTCATTGTGGAGTTCTTTCACTTACTTGGTTAAATTTATTTATAGGTGCGATGTGTACATGTGTCTATTATAAATGGCATTGGTTTTTAATTTCTCTTTCAGGCAGTTCACTATGGGTATATGTGGGAGAAGTTCAAGCCTGCCTGGGCCAGGTGTGCCACACTCCTGTCTTCTAAGCAAACTTGAAGACCTCTCTGAGGCTTAGCTAACTCGCCTAAGTGCGTAGAGGCTGGGTCTAACAGGCTATACCTCTGCCCCTAGTCTGTGACTCCTTCACCTTGCCCAAGAAAAATCACCCCCCCCATATGTCTAGCCAATAAAATATCACCCAATGTTCTCCACTACTGCATAATGTATAAGAAAGTGCCGTGTAATTAAATACTCCTCCCATGCTCCTCCTCCAAGGTTGTCCACATGTAAGCTATATAAGCCTGTACATTTCCTAAATAAAGCGGAAGTATTCCAGAAACCTCCCTGGAGTCTGCCTGGTGATTCTGTGCCTGACCTCCCAGTGTGAGCTCCCGAACTGACCTCCACAGACCAAACAGTGGATGACAACAGGTATATAAAAATGTAACTGTTTTCTACATGCTTTGTATCCTACAATCTTCATTGCCTTTCCCTTCCAGAAAAATATCACATTGATCAATTACATTGATGACATTATGTTGAACTGACCTAGTAAGTAAGAAGTAGAAACCAATTCTAGACTATTGATGAGACATTTGTGTGTTAGATTGTGGGAATTAAATCTGACTGAAATTCAAAGGTCTTCTGAAAATTGTAGGCCAATATCCCCACTGAAGTACAGATGTAAAAATCCTCAAAAACTACTAGCAAATTGAATTCAATAGCAGCATACCAAAAGGGTCATTCTCTATGCTCAAGAAATATATATACAAGAATAAAATTGAACATTTTTTTAAAAAATACACACACACATATATAATATATATATAAAATATAACATATATGATATATTTTATATATATATATATGTGAGATTAACAGAATAAAGGACAATAACCATCATCTCAATATGGTTAGGGACCAAAAAACATTTGACAAAACTCAATATTTTATCACAGTTAAAAACTATGAACAAGTTACATATAGGAGGAATACAATTTAATACCATAAAGTCACATATGACAAGCTCACAGATGAATATACAGTAATGAAAAGTTGAACATTTCCTCTAAGTTCAGGAACAAAACAAATATTTTCATTCTTACCACTTCCCTTCAACATAGTACTAGAGCTCCTAGCTAAAGCAATTAGCAAAGAGAAAGAAATAAAGAGCATTCAAATCATAAAGTAAAATTGTCCTTGTTTCCAGATGATATGATCATTCATGTGTGTGTGTGTGTGTGTGTGTGTGTGTGTGTGTGTGTGTATGTGTGTAAAACTATGGACTCAAAAAAAAAAACCTATAAGAACCCATAAATTTAGTAAAGTTGTGGGACACAAAATTAATATGCAGTCAGCATCACTTTCATGAACTCTCCAAAAAAGAGATGAAGAAAATAATTCTACTTATAAAAGCTATAATAATATTAAAATAGGTAAAAATAATTTTAACGAAGGAGGTTAAAGATCCATATCCTGAAAGCTATAAAACATTGATGAAAGGAATTAGAAGAAGATACAAATACAGTGGACGCTTGACTTAAAAACTCAATTCATTTGAAATTCAGGTTGGTCAATTGAAGACTGAGGCTCCCTTACACAACCTCCAAAGTCTCTCTCCTGTATACAGCAGCTCTCAGTGTCCTTAGAGAGACATTGACCCAGGATTTCTCAACTAACCCAACACAGGAAAGAATACTGTGATGTTCCTTCCAGAACTCTTTAAGGGTTAGATCTGTATCTGAGGCCATCTGGAAGCACAAGCAGCAGGCATTCATGTTGTATCTCAAGACTTTGTTTGTAAGTTAAAACATAGTCCAAGTTGTTCATGTGTTAGACAAGTCGTAACTCGAGGGTCCACTGAGTGGAAAGACATCCTGTGTTTGTGGATTGAAATAATTAACACTGTTAAGATGTCCATACTACCCAAAGTGATCTACAGATTTGATGTAGTCCCCATCACAATCAAATAACTTTTTTCACAGGAAAAAATCCTAAATTTTCATGAAATCATGTAAGACTCTGAATAGCTTAGATAAAAAGACAAAGCTTGAGACATCATATTACCTGATTTCAAAATCTACCACAAAACTATAGCAATCAAAACAGTATGCATCTGGCATAAAAACAGACACATAGACCAACGAATCAAAACAGAAAGCCTAGAAATAAATCTGTACATTCACACTTAGTAGACTTTATATAAAATGCCAAAGCACAATGGGAAATGAAAAGTCTTTTAAAAATATTTTTGGGAAAATTAAATATCTGTATTCAGAAGAATGAAATTGGACCCTTATCTTACTCCATATACAAAGTCAACTCAAAATAGATAATCACTTAAAAGACTCAAAGCTGTAAAAGTACTATGAAATCTAGTCTACATTTACACTTTTGGTTTCCCACATCAGAGAACTGGTGTGATAATTTCACCTGTGTGTTCAACTTATTTCACTTAAGAATATGGTCTCAAGGTGCATCCATTTACCTAGGAATATCTTGTTTATCCTTCTTTATGACTTGGCACACGACTGTAGTTTGAAAATAATCTTTTTTAGCCATTAACTGATTTATAGGCTGTTTGCAAGATTTAGCTACTATGATACAGGAGGAAATGCTCAAATAAGAAACGGAACTAGGAAAGGGAGAAGGGGAAAGGGAGGAAAGGAAAGAAGAATTGAGAAACAATGGAAACAAACCTTTAAATGGGGGGGAGAGGAATTGAAGAAAGGGAAGGGGGATGGGAAAAAATAGGAATTAGGATAGATCATGTACAGATTCAAATTCCCTAGGATGAATGTGATCGTTATATACATATCTCAAATATACCAATAAACTTAATTAAAAAAAAACAATCGTGAAAGAACGGGAAAACACCATGACTTAGATCTGAGCAAGAATTTTTGGTGTAGCATTCTAAAAGCACAGGTAATAAAAAGCAAAAATAGACAAATGAGATTATATCACACTAAAATGTTTTTGTACAGGAAAGGAAACAATCAATAGAATGAAGAGACAAGCTAAAAAAACTGCAGCAAATGTTTGCAAAAATATGAACCTGATAAGAGATTAACATTTTGTACCAGTTAGGGTTCACTAGAGGAACAGATGCAATGCAACATGCATAGTATATACCAAGGATTTACAAGGCAGGCCTCAAGGGCCCAATCAAAGATCACAGGCCTGTCGCTCAGTGAAGCGTTCATGTGAGTCCAGGTCAGAAGCTGAAGGGTCTTTGCCGCGAGGCTGAAGAGTCCACACTGGAAACCTGAAGGAAATGGAGATGAGGGTCCAACGGGGAGGTAGAGTCCAGTTCCTCCAATGAAGAAAGGGGAAGACTTCCTTCTTCTTTCTCTTGTATACTCTCCAGGCAGCAAGCCTACTACTGACATCTACATCCAGGTAGGTCTTCCCTCTTCGATTTGGGGCCTACATGTCTGCCATCCACAGATAAATCCAGAGCTTTACTAATCAGCAAGGCAGTTCTTACAAGTCAAGTCGATATATCACAATTAACAGTCATACATCCCCTAACATAAGGAACTCAACCACCAGAAAACCAACTTAATTTTAAATGGACAAAGCATCTGAATTAACATTTCTCAAAAGACCGTATATAAATGGCAAAAGGTAATAAAAAATGTTCACCATCACTAATTACTGTCAGGCAAATGCAAATCAAAATCCACAATGAAATATCACCTCACACTGATTAGAATGTCTGCTACCAAAAAAGCAGAGGATAACGAGCGTTGACAGGGATGTGGATAAGAGGAAACCCTGGCACACTGTTTATGGGAATGTAAAGTAGTACCGCCGTGGTGGAGAACAATACAGTGGCTTCTCACAAAATTAAAAATAGAACTATCATTTTACCTATTAAGTCCCATGTGAATTTATATTCAAAAGAAATGAAACCATTATGTTGGAGGCAAATATGCATTCCGGTTTGTTTGTTTGTTTTGTTTCATTTTTCGGTACTGGGGATTGAATTCAGGACCTTGCACTTGCGAGTCAGGCACAGCACTCCTGAACTAAATCCCCAGACTTGCAATCCTGTTTATTTCAGCATTATGCATGACAGCCAAAACATGGAATCAACCTAGGGAGTATAGGACCTAATCCATTCCTTCAATGGATCAGTGGATAAAGAGAATATGGTGCATACATGGTATGGTGCATGTGTGGTATGCAGAATATAATACTATTTTGGCCTTTAGAAATGAGAAAATCCTGTTATTTGCAAGAACAATGTTGAATTTAGCAGACACTGTGTTAAGTGAGAAAAACAAATACCATATGAGCTCACATGTGTGTAGAGTCTAAAAAGATCAGCTTATAGGAGCAGAGAGGAGTGTGGTGATTACCAGAGGCTGCGGTGGGAGAGGGAGCTTAGGGGATGTTCAAGGGGTTGAGGAATTACTGGTCAAATAATGCAAAACCTCATTTAAGAGGAATGGGTTTAAGAGACATAGTTAATGACCACGAATTGCATACTCGAGGATTGCTCACAGAATAGATTTTAAATTTCCTTACCACAAACAAAAAATCCAGTCTCTCCAACAACGAGGAAAGAGGAACAACTCCTGATGGACCTCTTTGAATTTTGGGGCCGCTACATTCCTTCCTTGGTTATTGCTTTGGCTCATTTACTGAATGAGTGGAACAGACTTTAGTTTTGAGGAGCTCTCAGAATAGGAGAAAGCTCTGCAATATGTCCAGCCCATTGTGCAGGTGACCCAGTAGATCTAATAGTCCCTAAGGTAGCAGGAGCAAATAACACTTCTGTAAGGACCCTTAGATACTCAGGCCCAACACTACTTCCATTTGATGAGACACTATCGCTATGCATGCCCAATCTCACAGCTCGGTGGGTCAGAACACACACAGTTCATTATGATAGGGCCAGGGGTTTAGCTCAGTGGTTTGGTGGCCTGCCTTGTAAGAGCAAGGACCCCAATTCAATCCCCGGTACAAAAAAAAGAAGAAAAAAAAAAACAGCTCATTATGATCAGCTCAGGTCACTTGATAACTTGGCAGCCACGGTCAAGT